ATTTACTGAAAGGCAGGGCGACTGGGGCGGTGGGGCTGGGGGAGAGCCCACAGTGCCCAGGCCTGTGTCACGAGGCCCCACACCTCCTGGTTTCCTCGGTCAGAGCACGAAGTCGCAGAACCTTGTTTACCCTGGTCCTTGCAGTTTGGGCCTTAACATCCCTGTGGCTGACTCACAGCTCTCCTTACAGGCCCATGGGTTCCATCTCTGTGCCTTTGCCATGCTGGTCCCCTGCCTGGCATTCTTTCACCTCTGCCCAGATGGAGCTGTTTCTGGCACCCTCCTGATGACTGCTTAGGGGTGCTGGGTGGGATATTGCCTTTAAACCTTGTTTTCCCCTAATACGACAGCAAACTGAGAAAATACAGAGGCATATAGATGAGGATAAGAAAGTGAGCTGGTCCTTCCCTGGTCACTGCACCTCCTTTGCTGGGGGCTGGGGGCTGAATCTAGGCTGCTCCTGGAGCATCCGCCTGGGTGGGCAGGGAGCTGGCTGGCCCCGGGGGCTCTACTGCTTTGGCACAGATGAGCCCTGGAGCAGCCTTTGGGGGTCTCCTGATAGAGTCCGCTGCAGCAGGCACAGCACATGGAGCAGCCTGGCCTGTGTCCAGCCGTGCAGCTCATGCCAGAGGGAGGCTTCCCGATGATGACGATGACAGCATAGTTATTAACTGTGCGGCTGTGAGAGGCATGGTCCAGCCCTGATTCTCAGGTCGGGAAAGTGAAGCGGACGGTGAAGTCAGTCTGCCTGGTCCCTGGGTGAAAGCATGAAGGAGCAGGATTTGCAAGCCCAAGGGCTTAGCTCCTGGAGCCTCAGGGACTGGTTGGTCTTGGAGAAGAGGCTGGAGGAGGGTACACTTAGCAGGGACGAGGCAGCCTGGGCCAGTGTGTCCGACAGGGAGGAGCCAGGCCTCTGTGGGGAGCAGCAGAGTGAGGCTGGTCACTGGGGAGAGAAGGGGAGAGAGGTTCTGGGTGCACAGCCCAGCCGCCCTGCTCAGGGGGCCCACTCTCCCCAGAGATGGCTCCCAGGGTCTGGCAAAGGCAGGGGTGGCTAGCTCCAGGGAGTAAGCCCCTGCTCTCCCAAGGGCCATAGGGCCTGTCACTCCTCCTCCTGAGCTCAGAGTTGATTCCCCAGATGCCACCCAGGTCGGCTGGGCCAGGTACCCAGGAGCCCTGTGGCGGCCTCCCTGGCCAGGTGCCCAGCAGTCGGAGGTGAGCTTCGGCCAGCAGTGGTGGGACAGGGCGGTGCCTGCCTGCCGCCCTGTCTTGGGTGTGTGGGGAGCTAGTGGGAGCCAGTGGTTTCTCCATTTATCTTGGGAGACAGACATTCTTCAAGCCCTAGACCTCAGGGTCTGCCAAGCAGTGGGCACTCTCAGGCCTTTTCTGAGGTCAGCATGGCTGGAGCCTGGAGCCACCGGGGGCCTGGTGCCTTCCGTGGCAGCTTCAAGGCTATAGGCCCCTGACCTTCCAGACAGTGACAAAGGAGGCCTGATAGGGTCACTTTGTCCCCCTCACAGGGACAACTTCACAATTGGGGGGGCTAGGGGTAGCCCAGACACAGTGCTGTAGGTGAGCCTTGGGCCCCGCCTGCTGCCGCACCATTGGGTGCTGGGCCTTTTGTCCCTAGAGCCTCCCTGCCAGGGAGTTTTCTGAAAAGGGGCACCATCTTGGGCAAGCCTTGGGGAGTGGGACAGTTGGTTCCTGCCTGCTAACCAAGCCTTGGAACTGAGCCAGCCCAGGCCTGGGAGAGGCTACAGAGGCAGGGCTGGGGGGCCTTATACCAATTCATTGGGAAAAGATTTTTAAGTTTACAGAAAAAGTTGCAGGATTATCCAGTGACCAGTATATTCCTGCACTTGGGATTCACCAGTTTCCAACAATTTGGCATATTTTACTGTCTTCCTGTCTCTCTCTACCCACCTGCCTATCTGGTTGCTGAACCATTTGAGAGTAAGTTGTAGACATGCCCCTTTGCGCCTAAATATGCCCAAGAACAAGGGGGTTCTCTCACATGTCCACACTGGGAAATGAACACGGATGCAGTACTGTTATGTAAACCACAGCCTTACTCAGCTTTCGCCAGTGGACCCGAACTGTCTTTTATAGCAGCCCCTCTGCCCCATCCAGGAACATACGCTGCATTTAGCTGTCACCCGTCCTTGGTCTCTCATCTGGAACAATTCCTCAATCTTCCTTTGTCTTTCATGACCTTGACATTTTTGAAAACCCAGTTATGTTATAACTGACTCCAAATTTGGGCTCAGTTGATGTTTCCCTACGGTTTGCCCCAGGTGGGCACTGTTGGCAGGAAAGGCCCGGAACTATCCTTGCATCTTTCCAGAGCATCCCTGGGTCAGTCAGGATCAGGCATGGCGGGAGCCTGGAGCCTGCCTGCCGCCCTGGTCTTGAACTTTCCTGAGTGGCTGGGGCCGCCTGTTCAGGAAGGATGGATGGGCCCAGGAATGGGGTGGTGCTGTGGGGCTCCTTGGGACCAAGATCCTTGGGGTGGGGGGTGGGTATTGGCATGAGCTGCCTGGGGCCGAGCTAGGGTATGAGGCTGGGGTTATCACACAGGCCTCTCAGCCTTGTCCCTTCAGTTTTTTGGGGCCCTGGGTACCCGAAACCCTTGCTAACCCCCACCCATGAGCAAAGAAAGGCTCCTGCAGACTCTGATGCGCTATTGAGTCTCAGCTTGTATGGGGGCAGGGGAACCACCGACACCCCTCTGGGCCTGTTCTGTCTGGAGACAGTATGTGCTGGGCTTAGTTCCTTGGGGTAGAGAGGCCCCTTGGGCTTTGAGTCGCAGACACACATGGGCGTGTGTGGGTGCTGGACCCCATGTCCTGTGGGCCGTATGGCTTCACCCAGGTGAGGGCCAAGGAGAAGCAGGGCTCTCAGTTGCCTCACCTGTGACACGGAAGGCTGGAGTCGTGCTGGTGAGCCCCGGGGCCCCGTGGACAGGGCCATCTCCCCGCGGGGAGCCATTCCTGGAGGCAGCCTGGGCCCAGCGCCTGTCCTTGGCCTTGCAGCCGAGGACCCGCAGGAGCCCGTGCCCACCCTGTGGAACGAGCCGGCCGACCTACCCTCGGGAGAAGGCCCCGTGGAGAGCACCAGCCCCGCCCGGGAGCCCGAAGCCACCGGCGCCCCGGCCCCCACCGCCCCGCCCAGCCCCGAGGACAGCACCGCGCGGGAGCGACTGGACCCCGGCAGCAGCGGTACGAGGCAGCCCAGGCCGCGGAGGGGGACAGGGAGGGCGGGAAGGCGGGGAGCGAGGCCGGCCGGCCGGGCTGACCAGCCCTCCTTCTGTCCTGCAGGCTCCCTGGGGCCCGGCGCCATCGCGGCCATCGTCATCGCCGCCCTGCTGGCCACCTGCGTGGTGCTGGCGCTCGTGGTGGTCGCGCTGAGAAAGTTTTCCGCCTCCTGAAGCGAATAAAGGGGCCGCGATCCGCCGGGCGCGCCCGTGTCTTCCGTGTGTCCAGCGTGAGTGTGTGGCGGGCGGGGCGGGGCGGGCGGCAACTCGCGACACGGGCGCCTGTGTGCACGTGGCCGGCGCCCGCAGGAGCCGCGGGGTACGGCGCGGGGTGCGGAGCGGGGTGCGGAGCGGGGTGCGGCGGGCGGCGCTCGGAGCAGAACACCCTCCCTGCCTGCCCCTCCGCCCTGGCCCCAAGCCTTCGAGCACCGACAAGTGGGAGGCCAGGCCGGGAGAGGGCGGGGGTAGGGCGGCCAGGCCATCGCGGGGACCCCTCTACCCCAGGGAGCCCCAGGAGCTGGAAGAGCCGAGGAGTGAGGCGCTGTCAGCCTGGCCTGGTCCCCCACCCACAGTCCCAGGCGGCCCCCAGGCCGGGCTTCCCGGCAGCCAGGGCCTCCAGGCGCCCCACCCCGCCGCCTCCTTCCCCTCCTCCCCAGCTTGGCCCTGGCCCTCCGACCCTGATCATGCTCTGTCTTCACGCTCCCCAAGGAGCCTAGCATTTATAATTTGGAGAGAGATTATAAATAGTGGCTGACCAGCCCTGGGCGCAGCAGAGAAGCCAGAACTGTGACCTGCCCCTGTTCCCGCCCCCCAGGGGCCTTTGGGAGTGAGGAGAAGCCCCGGAGGAGAGATTGCTATCACCCCGGGCCCTGGGGGGTCCCTAGCGTGGGTGCTGGTGGCAGGGAGCGGTTCCTCCTCCTCTTCCCACCATTTTCTCTTCAGGTACTTGGCCTCTTTGGTTTCCCTGATCTCCTGGCCACACCTGTTCCTGGATACCCCAGATGAGCACACGTGGTCCCCACACACACTCTCCCCAAAACACTTCATGGGTTACAAGTTTCTGCTTATAAAGGACTGTTATGAAACTGACCAGTTTTCATGACACTGTTTAAATCACATAACCTCCAGTGGCCAAAGCCCTCCTCGGAGCAGAGTGAAATAAGTCAAACAGAGAAAGACAAGTACTATATGATTTCACTTACGTGTGGAATCCAAAAATCAAAACAAATACACAAAACAGAAACAAACTCATTGATACAGAAAATAGACTTAGGAGCTGGATGAAAAAGGTAAGGGGATTAAGAAGTACAAATTGGTAGTTTCAAATAGTCATTGGGGATGTAAAGTACAGCATAGAGATATGGTCCATATACCTGGTAATAACCTACCGGATGGATGCCCAGTGGGTACTAGACTTCGTGAGGGGGATCCACTTCCTAAGGGGCTAGAAAATACTTTCAAAATCAATCAGCCAAATATATAACTTTATC